TCAATGTTGAGAACAGTTTTTGTGGCTTAATATTTTGTGGAAACCATGATACAATTTTGTTTTAGGATTTTTTTGATTAATAGAAAGTTGAGTGAACAGCATTTCTTTAAAATAGAAATCATTTGCAACTTTATAAATGCCTTTCCTCTAACTTTTAATCAATTTAATGCATCTTTGCCGAATAATCTATTTCTATATTCTAGTATACAGAATAAAAGTATACATACCTGTATCTATTTCTGTATTCTAGTATACCCAAATTTTAAATGATAATGTATCACGGTTTCCACAAAAATATTAAGTAGTACAACTGTTTTCAACACTGATAATGATAATTAAAAAAAAATAATTTAAATGTGAAAATTTATTTTTTCTGTATTTTTATCAAATAAATTCAGCCTTGGTCAGCATAAGAGTCTTCTTAAAAAAAAAAAATTATAATAATAATAATATTCTTATTTATTCCAAATCTTTGACTGGTATTATTATTAGTAGAAATAAATATAATGAACAAATTATTTATACAGTATATTAAATAATTATGTTGCTTTTTTTCCCAAATAATACAGTGAACTAAATACTTAAAAGGTACTGTATCTCATTTGATTATTTTCTCTTTTTATTTGGAATTTAACAGCAAATATTTCTGCATTTCTATATTTCCACCATCACACAGTATGTGATCATATACACCCCAGTCCTATAGAGTCTTTAATCAGAACTTCATCTATTTGTTTTGCTTTTCAAGGTGAGATTCAAGGAGAGACTTTCTTATTGTAAACCATCCAACACTTTCAAACAGCCTCCCTCGGGTGAGAAGGAAAAATGAGTCTTCAACAATGGGGTTCCCATCAGCTACAGGCGAGTAATTTGAGGAAATGTCATTATCAAACAACATAGGATGGCACCCAACTGCGTGTGTCCCTATAAAGTAGTGTTCTAGAACGTTGCCACCTTGGTAAAGTGTTGGCGATAAGTGCAGTACAATCGTCGCTTGATACGGACCGTGAGAGCTTGGCTCGTAACTGATGGAGAAATCTCTATTAAACTTAACGAAGGGAGCCAAACATCTGGGCATCATGTTTTAATTGACAGTTTGGTGCACGCGTTGGATGCGGCAACAGATTGTCCAATTTTTTCTCTATCGCACTCTCACACACGTTCTTATTCTGTCATGCAGGCGGCTACGTTAATCTTAAAGGATTTAAGAAGAATCATTGCCTAAAATAGAAGCAATTGTTTACTTCAGGTTCTCAGTCTGTTAGATGAGACCACACAGTCTTTGGCAGCCTGATATATTTGCTAGATTTTAAACTTAGAAAGTCATTATAGTACAATAAGTCAGGTTATAACTGAGTTTATAATTTGTGGTGCATTTTATATTAGCAAAAGTGTGTAAATACAATACGTGTTCTAAATAAAACAACTGTTGGTCTCAGTTAATATGTTTTATCTGCTAGTTGCTACGCTTAAAAAATAAACTCCATTTTGATATTACAAGGGAAAAGATGTTTGATGTTGACAATTTCCCCATTTTGGCTCATAATTTCAATGGCAGCGCTTGATTGGCCAACCAGTGTTATTTTCTTGATCAGGTTAACCTCAAATTTTGACAATTTGATTGGACAAAGATTTTATGGTCCTTCGCCTTCCACAGATGATATAAATGCAAGTTAACTGTCAAACAATTTTGAATGAAAGTCATAAAAATATTGCAAGCCATAACAAATGTAGCCAACAAAGTTGACAGGCAATTGACAATAGGTCATTGAAGATTAAATATAGAGAAAAAAATATTAAGAGGACATTCGCCATAATGTGTTTGAAATGTCCGCTAAAGAAGAAAATTACATCACATGATGCTTTTGTGATAAGCCATTTTTTAGTTTTCAAGGGGGGTGTTTGGTTAGTAATAGTAATAGTTGACAGATTTTTTGTGGAAAGTAAAATGAAATATTTTCTTATTTAAAAGAAAATAAAGATTTAATTTAAATTAAACACAATCTATTTTCAATCTGTTTTCTAATCTAATGTATTTAGATTGTGGAAATAAATGAGATAATCTTGACTTTAACATTTTGTATTCATTTTAAACTCAAGACATTGCAGAAACTGTAATTTAAAGGAGGTAACAGCAATTTTAAGCAAACCTGAAAAACAGTGTGCACAAAATATATGTGTGTGATTATAGTGTGTATTCTCTAATTTTATCAAATATGATATTTCTGAAGAAAATTGTTAGAAAAATATAATCATCATCATTGGACATGAAATGTACCTTAAATTACAGAATGACTCAAGTATTCTGTTCTTTTAACACTTTAAGATGTCCTATTATCATTGAGGAAAATGTCATCAGAAAATTGTGTGTGACAAAGGAGAACGAAAATATCCCGAGATGAATTAATGTTGACTCTCTCGCTTCATGTGAAATTACTGTTGAGCATTACTAATTATAATTTCATTTTCCCCCATCCCTGCCCCATGTGGCATTCAGATTTATTTAGAAAGTGCATTTGCATCTCAGAGCGCTGCTCACGCAAAATAATCTAAAAAACATCAAGCAACCAGAGCCTTTGTTCGACTGAAAGCCACATTTTCTTGTCGATTGATCTACAGACTTCATTGTGTCCAGACCACCGCGGTTCAAAGCTAAGGATTTTGATTCCAAGCACGAATAAACGTCAAAGTTAAGTAAAGTTATCCTTTTGATCCAAAACTAGAAGTGTTATGCTTTATCATTCACAGATGGGGATTAGAAGGCATTTGGTGTTTTTCCTCGGGATTAGCACAAGCGTTAACTCTTAATGTTGGATTCTGCTCTTGCATGCGTTCTGTTCATTTACACTAATATCCGAAGAGACCAGTCCTGACTGAGTAAGGTCACTTTCAGCAGAGTTTGAGTCCCGCAGGTCCTTACGCCTTGACTTCTCTTATACCTCGCAGCAGTGTTTGCACATTCTGGCCAGGTATGGGAGTTTGTTGGTTTTCCATTTCTGCTGAAATTGTCAGTGCTGGGTGGAGAAATGGGGAAAGAATGTGCTCTTAATTTGTCTACAGTAAGGCCATAAGGGTCAAAAAGTAAGTTTTGTTTGGTCTTTGTGCAGACTAGAACAGGCTACTCCTTTGTAGCAGGTTTTGCTTGTACTTTCTTGTCTCTCTGGGAAGGTTACATTTGCTGAGTCTTAACATTGTCAGGACTTATTTCTTAGTGTTGAGTCGCTCTTGGTGTCAGCTCTTCTGTTCTTTGTATCCTCAGTTCGAAGGAACAGTTCTCTTTAAAAAATCAAAGCATTTAAAGGTAGGGTAGGCAGTTTCGGAGAGCCAAAGCTAGCTTTGAAAGCATAAGATCCCACCCTCGCTGTAAATCACTCTTCAAAGCCACGCCTCCTCTAAAACACATAAAAACTCATTCACCGGTGAGAAATCATTAGAAAGCGCATAATATTGCAATAATAACACCTTCCATTCTCGCTCGATCTGCAATAGCGTAATGGAAAGCGCTGATGCAAATGCATACATTGACAGGCAGGTAGGACAGCCTATCGAAGCCCGCGGACAGAGGGATATGATTGGACGATGATTTTATGGTCCCGTGCCTTCCACAGACGATATAAATAAAATTTAAATACATTTAGACCACTTAATGTATTGATTGCTATCAGGATGTGAAGAGACTTTCAACCAACATAACAAAAAATGTTTTTGAACCAAATCACCCTTTCTTTTATCCGTAAGACACCAAAGCAGACGTTTTGCAGAACGTCCAGGCTTCTGTTTTCCATACGAAACTGGATGATGATTTACTGTCAAGCATCATGTCAGCTGAAGTCACCATTTATTCTGTCTTGTTAAATCTTCTGCAAATAGCAACTTACATTTTGGCATTGTCTTCACACAAAGCTATCATTTTGTTCAAGAAGACTTGGAATAAAGTGTGCAAGTGATTGGATTTTAACAATACTTTTGCGTTTTGGTCTTTTTTTAAATTCTTGACAAAATAATTCTCCATCCACTTTAGAAATGGGAACATTTAAAGGATAGTGAAAAATGAAAATGTTCATTTACTCAACTTCATGCATGTTGTTCCAAACCTGTAGGAAATTCTTTCTTCTGTGGAACACAAAGAAGATATTGTTGTAGAAGATAAATGTCTTAGTGTACAACAGAAGCCCAAAATTATAATTTCAAGTGAATTATCCCTTTAATACTATGCAAAATAAAAAGAAAGAAAAAATATTAAAGATTTGGAACAGAAGGAGGCTGAGACATTTTTTGGACCTGTTCTCATTTTGTGTTCCTGTTTGCCCACTTTTACTGTATTTTCAATCCAGTGTCTTAATCATTTCCCTTTTTTGTTTTAATAATAATACTCTGTCTAATTGGGTTTCTATTCTGGTACTCTTCCAAAAATGATAATCATGAATGCCCTGACATTTTACATTTTTATGCATTTGGCAAATTATTTTATCCAATGCAACTTGAATTGCATTGAAGGTATGCATATGCTGTTTTAGCTACAGGATGCTGATACTCTAATTAGATGCATGTATTTTGGTTGGCTGTATCTTAATGCCATTGCTTAGGCTTATGTGACTATATACATTAATAGCCACTTTTTGGATTTATTATATTTTTTATATAATTCAGTTTATCTAGCTCTTTTTACTTGTTTCTTACAGTATGACGTATATTTATGCAAGTCTTACTCCATTGGGTCTCTTTTGGTGATTGTTTTGTGTACACTAGTCCTCACATCCATAAACCACAGTGTGATGTGCAACAAATTCAGGGTTTTTCATCCAGGTTTGCATAGGGAGGTCAATTTTGGTTTTCTTTATGAATCAAGAAGAATTTTCTGTAGCCTTGTTGAATTTTGCAGTAGTGCGTATGCTTAATCCAAGCTTGATGTGTTTTTTTTTTTTTTTGTATGTCTAAGGGCATAATTTAAGATGCATTTGCAGTCTTGATATCCAGGTTGTTATTCTCGCCTTTTTAAGGTTAACTTGGACGGCTCACGTCTGATAGAAGTTGTGAAGGAGGTCAAGATGTTGGAAATCAACGATGTCAGATCATCTTCAGAATCCGGTAGAGTCAGACTGACTGCAAAACGAGACCTCGCCAGTTCTCTCAGCCACCCTCCCTTTCCTCGTTTCATTGCCAGGTAGCTCATGGCACGGCATGACGCTGTGTAAGCTCCATCTGTTTGGCGCACGGCTGGTGACAAACTGCGAGAGAGGAGGCCTAGTCAGTCGCTGTGGGTTGCATTGCGGTGGAACCAATCGGCACCTTCCCACACGGCCCAAAGAGAAAGCCCCCCGGGAAACCCTTCAACACGCCCAGCCTACAACCCAGCACACAATTTGTGCTCCGCCAAATATGGAGTCAACTTCTACCAACCCTGACTTCACCCGTGATCAGTACAAAACAAAAAAATGAGGGCAGCAGAAAATGAAATAAAAATGAAGGATTTGAGAGATCAAAGCATTAAAAGAATAGTTCAGCCAAAAATAGAAATAAAAGTCTGGTATTATTCACTCATGTTTTCCCAAACTCGACTGCTTTTATTCATTTTTTTATTTATGGAATTTGTTTGATGATCTGAATCTTTTAAGTGTGACAAATATGCAAACAAATTAAAGAAACAGGACGGGGGCAAAAACTTTTTCACACCACTGTATATATATATATATATATATATATTCTTATAACAAAATTAATAGAAGTACTACTATCGCAGAAAGACACAAAATTTATTTTTTTTACATTTATGTTTGTGGTTCCTTGCTGGTAAACAACCTTCCCATCCTTATCCAGACAGCCAAATCCCTCACAATATTCAAGACGCGACTAAAAACTTAAATCTTTTTTTAGGAAGGGAACTTAAATGCATCCCGCTGACGTTTACTCTTTGTTGTACTCCTCATTTGTCAGTCAATTTAGATAAAAGTGTCTGCTAAATGAATAAATATGAATGAATAATGATTTTAATTTTGTTTTTTTTTGCCAGACAAAGCTATAAATGGCTTCAGGAAATACACAAATTTTTAAAAATTTTTATGGTGCATTCTTGAAAAGCTTCTTTAAAGGGGCTATATAAAATATAAAAGTCCTTTTGGTTTCAATGATCACTATGAAGTATTGTTGAATGAAAAATTGCTGCATTAAGATTCTTTAAAAATTCCTTTTGTGTTTGACAGAAAAAAATAAAAACTTGGGTTTGAAATGGCATGAGGGTGAATAAATAGACATAATTTTCATTCTGGACGAACTGTTCCTTCAAACTCTGAATTAGACCCATTGTTGCAGTAAACTCAGTTCTGATCTTGTCATTTGAGCCGAGGCTTAGTTGGTTTCTGTATCTGGGTTCACTAATGACCAAAAACCCTTCACAACAGCTCGGTTACTAAGAGAAGGCCTACTGTCACCTCTGCTTTTGACAACAAAAGACAACATTTGCTCAATCTCTGTTGAGTTTTCCCTTCTCTTTGTGTCGTATCTGACTGACTTAAAGCAGTTTAAGATTAATAAGTAATTATGTTGTCAAAACAGGCCTTTTTTCTTGAACTGCACTGTTTCTGTCTACTTTTTTCTCTCTAAACTCATCATTTTGGCTATTAGCATAATTCTTATTACTCCAAACGCACACAGATCCTTGCATTGTTCTCATTACAGAGCCAGAGCCCCTTTAATGTGTGAGATCACTGCTCTGATGTGTGGAGAAACAATTAGCTGTGATCTGCTCCAGTCTCCATTCAGTAATGAGCATGTAGATTTGATTGGCCGAGTAAAAGCAGGAATAAAGTGTTCGGAGAGGAAATGAGTAAACATGAGAGGACGGTGACGGAGGGAAGACAAGGAGGTGGAGACGAAGTGTCTGGGCAAATGGAGTCAAGCTGTGATGACGGTTTTTATAAACGGTTTGCCATTAGAGTTTAACATCTTGATTATTATTTTTTTCTTTCATCAGTTTTAGCTCAAAATGCAAGTTTAGTTGAGTTTATTTACACATGCTGAAGCTCAGTGTTGGTCACTGAACCTTGCAGCTCAGGACAATGCTTCTTGCACCAACTGTGATTTAAATTTCACGAACCATTTCTTATACAACAAGCTGACCTTTCACTACAGCATTTATGACATTTACTTGATGTACAATCATAGATTTTATTGTACATTGTTCTCTGGTTCATCATCAGCGGCCTGAGTAGAAACTTTTTATTGTTAGTTCTGTATTCTGTGCGTGTCATCTCTGGTTCGCAGAAAAACAACACTCTTTCATTGCAACTCTACTCTGCAAATAATTACAATCAGTGCTGTCATCTATCTATCTATCTATACTGGTAATATAAGGTTTAGGTTCAGGGTTATTACCTAGTTATTACCTAGTTATTGTAATTACTATAATAAGTACATAGTATGTACATGAGTAACAGGACCGTAAAATAAAGTGCTACCGATACTTTTCAATTTATTTTTTATACAAGTTTCACTGTTTAATTTATTATGTTTTATGTATTAATAATTTAATCACTCACAGAGAAAACTCACTTTTATGATACATTCACTGCTAAATTATGATTTTTTTTGTCCTTGGTACTGAAGATTCAGCGGTGTTTCAGCAGAAAACACACAATATACTCAACATACTCAAAAGTTTATACCATTTGACAGATTTTTATATCACCCACCAGATGTCCCGGGTAAGAAAACATGAGCAAAACATCATAGCCTTCAGCGACTGTGACTGTGAGTTATTGTAATGTGTGAAGAGGTGGATTAGTCCACTGTTTAACAAAACCATGGCAACAGCCTGCAAATAGCCCTCACGCTGATCTGTCGATTGACTTGCTAAGTTCAGCATGTGGTGGGAAAATGAAGTGTGTTACACACACCACCCTGCCAACCCGGTTCACCCCTGCCAGAACAATCTAAGAGCTTGGTTCCCCCGAGTTCATTTTCCTGGAGGCATTTTCGTCTCAGCGAGGTGGATGTCGGCAGGTGAAACAATCAGCGGTTGGTGGATGGACAGGATTTAAATGAGATGACAAAGCAATTCTTCACTTCCTTCCTGCAAGCTGTCTAAATAAGTGGAGGCAGAGTTGCTGCCCATCTGCAAAAATGACACGTCTGAGAGGAGGTTCAAAGGTCAGTGTTTTTCTTCTAGCCCAAGAACTGTTTATCTTAAAAAAATTCACCTATTATGTCTGTAATCGTATAAACAAAAACATATTTTAAGTGCAGCAGGACTGACGGAAAAAAATATCTTGGACCAAAGGTTAAGCTATTACTTTTTGATGAAAGATTATGAATGCAAATGTATGAATATTTCAAAGACAAATAAAATAATATTTAATAAATAAATATTTAAAATAATGGAGAGATTATATCATGTTAATATATATTTTTTTATATTGTAAATTATTTTAATAAATGCAATATTTTGAATATAACATTTTGAATTGAATATGATACATAATATATATATATTATATAATTGAATATAAAAAATATTACATTTAATATTTTTGTCCTGCCACCAATCACAGACATGTTTGTTGATTTCTACAACGCAATGGCCAATCAGATGTTTTTAGGTTGGAATCCACGCACTCACCGCTCCAGTCAACGTTTTCATTTTTTGTCCAGTGCTGAGTTCTATCATGCTCGTAACTTCTTTCTAACAAAGACATTAAAAAAGTTTCATCATGTAGTCACGTTCCTTGTTTTTTTGTTTGGT